AGTCCTTGCAGGCCAAAGCTCTGCAGACTGCAGTTCACTGCCTCATTAAACACATCTGATTCAGCTCATCAGCTAATCAGCAAGGACTTCATGAACTGAATTCAGAGCGTAAGATGGGTAAACGCTGATCTCCACAGCACTTTGGCTCGGAAGGTCCCCAGTTTGACATGCCTGGTGTGAAAGAGCCACTTCCAACACCAGGGGGCATCGGATCCCTGCACTGTGTCTGAACTTCCCAGCTTTTCCAGTGAGTCAGAGACGGACAAAGGCAGAGAAATCTGACTCTACCGTCCACTCTGAGTGACAAAGAGGAAAAGGGGCATAATGTATTGATCTGTAGAGAAAAAGACAGTTAGTTGTTAATTTAGAGAAAATGTTGAAATGGTTAAAGTACTGACTGTAACACAATAAAAGAAAGAGGACATCTGAGTCTGTTGATAAAGTGCAAGAAGTGTTGAATTTGGTACTAAATAACTAAAAGTGTTGAGTCTGTAGACGGGTCTGTTTACCAAAACAGGACAATTTGTGTCCATTACATTAGGACAACAAATTTTATCAGCTCCACTTACTGTATAGGTGCACTTACGAGTGGATCAGACACAGCAGTGCTGCTGGAGTTTTTAAACACTGTGTCCACTCACTGTCCACTCTATTACCTTGTTGGTCCACCTTGTAGATGTAAAGTCAGAGATGATAGCTCATCTGCTGCTGCACAGTTTGTGTTGGTCATCCTCTAGTCCTTCACCAGTGGTCACAGGACGCTGCCCATCGGACGCTGTTGGCTGGATATTTTTGGTTGGTGGACTATTCTCAGTCCAGCAGTGACACTGAGGTGTTTAAAACCTCCAGCAACACTGCTGTGTCTGATCCACTCGCACCAGCGCAACACACACTAACACACCACCACCACATCAGTGTTACTGCAGTGCTGAGAATGATCTTGATCCCCAAATAGTACCTGCTCTGTGAGGGTCCATGGGGGTCCTGACCACTGAAAGAACAGGGTAAAAGGGGGCTAACAAAGTATGCAGAGAAACAGATGGACTACAGTCTGTAACTGTAGAACTACAAAGTGCACCTATATAGTAAGTGGAGCTGATAAAATGGACAATGAGCATAGAAACAAGGAGATGGTCATAATGTTATGCCTGATCGATGTATGTAATGTTATATATCAAATTATTATATTAATATTTATATTAATTATGTGAATTTTCAGTTTAATCAAAGCTGTTTTAATGCAACTAATTAGTCCTATTTTCTAATGAAAAATTTGATTCAGGAACAATGTTTGACCATTTATACTTCAGACGAGTGAGCACTGTTACTGTCAAAGAATTTGAATGACTCACAGGAAGTGGCATCATTTGGAAGCTGGTGGAACATAAACTAAGCTATCTGTCATATTGTTGTTTATTCATTTTTTTCATTTCCTCATTATGGATAATGATGTCAGCCTAAACACATCCACCCTGATACTTTAATGTAGATGAAGCACTAATTTCCCTGCGTGATGTTCCGGCTGAAACTGTGGTGGGGATAGAATGGAAGCAGTACAATGGAAATAAATGGAACTAATGAATGACTTCAGCTGCAACCTAAACCTCGTCAGCATCAGCCCTGATACCAATCTGTAGGTCGTCTGACCTCAGACAATCCGCCCATAAGTAGATGAGTGGTCAGCAACCCTCCTCCTGGAGATCTGCCTTCCTGCAGAGTTTATCTCCATCCTGCATCTAACATGCTTCCCTTACCGAACTCTAATGCATCTGATCCAGACAGTGAAGCACTTCAGATGAAGTCCATTAGCTGGAGAAGGTGCGTCAGACTGTGGTGGAGATAAACTCCTCAGATCTCCAGGATCAGGGGTGACGACCACTGATTCATTGCAGGCCAACTAGGCCTCAGTCTCAGCCTCAGACTCTCCAGCCATCATAGATGATTAGCAGAAGTCTGGAAGACCGATGGTCTAAACCAATTTTGAAAAGTTTGGAGGTGTGAATCCACTTTTTGTAGAAAGACACAAAAAAGGGAAAATTACAGAATCTGTTGAATCGACAGAAACACCCAAAAAGTTTTGAAGCTGTAAAAAATGACAGCAAGTGTTTATTCCGCTATATTTGATATACTATATTTTAAATTTTTAAGTAATTAACACGTAAGCAAAGTCATTTAAAGTGGTTTAATATTCTAGAGAAGTCAGAATTGTTCGCAGTGGTGGTGATAGGAACCCAATGTCTGAAACATTTAAAGGGAATTAAACATTTCACTTTAATGTGAAATAATTCATGGTAGAGAAACTTGCCGATTTAGATCACAGTGGTGGTGATAGGAACCCAACATCTGATACATTTAAAGGGGATTTTCACTGATTTTTCAAAGTTTCTGTATAATTAAGTCTTTAGGATGCAAAAAAAAGTCATTTAGAGTGTTTTAATGTGAAATTAATAGTCCTGTTTTCTTATGAAAAATTTGATTCAGGAATAATGTATGGCAAATTATACTTCAAATGAGTGAGCACTGTTACTGTAAGCATGTCCATCTTGTTTTAAAATTAACACAATCAAAGAATTTGAATGACTCACAGGAAGTGGCATCATTTGGAAGCCGGTGGAATGCAAAACTTAGCTATCATTTAAATTTTTCAAAGTTTCTGTATAATTAAATCTTTAAGATGCAAAAAAGTCATTTAGAGGGTTTTAACATGAAATAATTCATGGTAGAGAAACTTGCCGATTCAGATGTCTTTACAGTGATGGTGATAGGAGCCAGGGGTCGCCATGACTACAACACAAATATAGACATTTTATTTACTATCCAAAACCACCAGTGAACCTACACGTTTGTTTTGATATTTATGCTCTAAACAAGTGAGCTCTGTCACTGTAAGTGTGTCCGTCTTGTTTAAATGTCCACACAGACATAGAATTTGATTGGCTCACTGGAAATGACATCATTTGAAAGCTGGTGGAACGTAAACTAAGCTATCTGTCATATTCTTGTTTATTCATTTTTTATTTCCTCATTACAGATGTTTGTAAAGTTGTTTATATGTGTTGTTGATAATGGTTCAATAGTGGTAAATCCGGTGATCTGATAAGGTTTTTTGGGGCTATTTTGCCTCACAATGCCGTACATGGACCCCTCTGCCATGAATAGCTTTTACAAAAATATGTTTTAGGGCAAATCCTCAAAACTTTCATGAAACAAAGTCTCAGGCAGTGAATTCTTAAGCATATAATGTTATAACTTTCTGTGAGGGAGCTTTTAGAGGTGGACATCTGGTTCCTATCACCACCACTGTGAATAATTCTGACTGGCAGTTTCTCTAGAGCAGAGCGTTTCACACGAAACCACTCTGAACCACTCTGTTTACATCTTAACCATTTAATTATACAGAGATTTTGATAAATCAGTTCCCCTTTAACATCTCAAAGCAGCTTCACACAAAGTTATTACACAAAAATGGTTTAAATACCGTCCCTGGGGTCTGAAACACTGTTTTACAATAGTTTTAAGATAAGGTTTTGGCTTAACACATTGTTTTCCACTCCATTCATGGCGGAGGGGCACATGCAGGGTGTTCAAAGGCCAAATAGTACCCAAAGAAAACTTTTTCTCTAGTTTACCAGTATTTTATCATTATTAACAGCACATATAAAACTCTGGAGACACGTGTAGGTTTGCTGGTAATTTTGGATATTAAATAAAACAGCTATATTTGAGTCTTTATTAGACATCCTGACCTCTGGTTCCTGTGGCCAACACTGTAAGGAAATCTGAGTCAGTGTGTTTCTCTACAGTGACCTATTCCACATTAAAGCACTCTGAATGACTTTGTTTACATCTCAGTGCTTGAAGTCTGCATAGAAAAAAATGTAGAATCTGTACAAAAAGGACAAACAGTGCTGAATCTGATAAAAATAAGGGCGGATTGTTGAAATCTGTACAAAGAAAAAAAAACAAGAAGTGTCGAATATGTACAAAAACATATAATTCCCATGTGCAATGTGTATTTCTATATATTTTTCAAAATTTGTTATGTTTGTAATAAATATCTGTGTATAATTGATGTATTTGTAAATATTAAATGGCCAAAATCACTGAAAACAAATTTTGTTTTGAGTTTACTGTTTCTGAGATGTCACAAGAACTTATTCTTTTACATATATCCACCATCCACAGCAGTTTAGCCCCGCCCATTTTACATACAGCAGTTTAGTCCCATCCTTTCTACCTACAGCAGTTTAGCCCCGCCCGTTTACACTGAAGTTCTAAGGAGTGTTTCAGCTCTGAGTGCTTTTTGATTGAGGCACATTACAGGGCAGCCAATCAGAACAGAGCTCATTTACCTTATATCAGTCTTAAAGGCACAGTAACCAAAACAGCCTGTTTAATTCTATGAGATAAAGGGAGGTTGGAAAACGGTCAGTTTAGGCCACTGTTGGTGCATGAAACCCCACACACATTAGAAGTGGACCTCAAGGGAACAAAGAACAAAAATTCAGGAAAAATGTAGGAAATGGGCCCTTAAAGTGCCACTCTTGCAATATTTACATATATGCATATATTTGAATATATTTGCATATATGTGCATGTGTTGGCATATGTTTAAATATTAAAAAGTAGCACAGTAAAATACAAACCCAGTTTCTGGAAAGGTTGGGACCTTTAACTGACAAAGGTGTAAAGAAAAGACTTTTAATGTTTAGGCTGACCAACTTGATTGTGTTTTGCAAATATAAACAAATTTTAAATTTGATTATATTTACAAAACACAGCTGAATTGGTCAGTGAAAAAATGGAAATTTTCCTTTGTCCCAACTTTTTGTGGCTTTAGCATGATTTTTTTTAATATAACACATATTATAAATATTATATTATATATTGTTTTTAATATTAGCAAATATATGTAGATGTACTGTATTAAAAACACAGAAACTGTGTAAAAGCGCGAGCTGTGCTTGGAAGTGGGCGTGGCTTCGTCGTTAAAAGCCTCCTGATGAGTGATGTGTACGGAATGCAATATGGGTCAAACCCTCCGCGCTTGGTTTCAGTGCGCCGTCAGCGCGAGACGAAGAGCGCGAGTCGGCGGCAGAGAGGAGCGGTCAGACCGGATTCTGATGAAAAACAAGCAGCAGTCGTCCAGGCTCCGAGGGTACCGGCGAGTGGCGGAGAAGAATGTGCTCGGGGACTGCGGGGAGGTGAACGGGCGGAGAAAGCTGTTCTCGGGGCGGGAAGACTCGGACGGTGTGCGCGTTGGCGCCGCTGGGGACGGCCGGGGCTCCGTGGAGGAGCCGGAGAGAGCGGAGAGAGCTCTGAGGCAGGAGGAGGCGAACCCGTCCGCCCATGCAGAGGAGCTGGAGCTGCACAGGGACCATGAGTGGGGCACCTGGGCCATGGAGGGACGCAACGTTAACGGCGCAGGGACGGTGGGGAGGAGAAGCGGCGAGCCGGGCTGCCTTTCTGAGGGAGGTGCGCGGCTGAAGAGCTCCTGGCTGGGGAACAGCCTGAGCGTCCCCACCACAGACATGACCAGAAACTCTCCCGAAGGCAAGCAGGAGAGCCAGGACAGCTGTCCTGAAGAGGAATACGGTTTGGTGGATTATCACAGTTTTCCTGGCACCATTCCTCAGCTCATCGTCACCCGGGACCCGAGCCCCAGCCCCACCGAGGCGCTGCAGGAGCCGCGGGCGGGGGACGAGTCGCCGTGTTCGGACAGCGGCTGCGGAGGCTCCCCGGTGCCTTACTTTTCCCTCCGCAAGCTGTCCAGCTCCTCGTCGGCTGGACTTTCGTCCGCCTCGTCGTTCGAGGAGTCCGAAGACGACGTGACCGGAAGTGACGCGGAGTCCGCCGGCTTGTCCCCCCGGAGGAGCGGTCCATTTGGGAGTCCAGAGGAGCTGGCAGGGGTGAGTCAGTTGGGGAGCCTTATAGCATTACAGTATAAAGCAATCGGTGTATGGAAATCCAAAGACAAAAGTCTTCCATTGGGCCAGTCCATTAACATGACCCTATTCATTGCTGGTCAGTTTCTGACCAGAGCACCACTGTTATTGGGCAGTTCTACCAGTTTTCCCAAACTGTCCTTATAGCTAAGATGTAAACAGTCATTCAGAGTGGGTTGATGAAATGCGCCTTTCTAGAGAAACTGTCAGAATCGTTCACAGAGCCTGACATCCACAGCGTTTAATGTGGGTAAAAGCGCCTCACATACAACTTTCACGCCACAACTGGTATCAATATGCTGCCTGATGCTTGAGACATTATTATAGATGAGTTTTGCTGTAAGATTTTGGCCAAAAACTTGGTGGAAAATTACACACGGGCAAAATTTTACCAAATCGAGCTTCTAGATTTACCACTAACTGCTGACAGATGCTGGACGAATGAAGACGTTCCACTTGGAACTTGAGTAGGAGTTTAAAAAAGGTTCAGAAAAGTTGTTTTGGTCGCTGCTTTTACTTCCACTTGAGTCATTATTTTGCTGAGGAAATCAGACCTCCTGTGTTTGAGAAGCAGAAGTGTGGGTAAGTTTTTCCAAATCAGTCAGGCACCTTGAACAGCGAGGCTCCTCCGTACACAGGCCTGAAACCTTAACACCCTAACCAGGCTTAATGCAATCGAGGCCTTCTCGGTGCTCCTGTGTGAGTCGTGTCTCCATCATTAGCCATGAGTTTCAGTCCGCTCCCTCCCGAGCTCCCTCCCCATCCTGCTCTCGTGCTCCTCAGCACATGCTTAATCTCCTGGAGAGTCCCTCGCAGGCTTAAGGAGTTGATGATTAGCTGGGGCAGTCTCCACTGAGAGGCTGATTCACTGCATAACAATCAGTGATTGTGCATAATTGCTGGCCTTGAGTTAGCCGTCCTGTGGGCTCACTGGAATGTTAATTCTTTGGTATTGCTTTCGTATTTAGGGATATGGGACTTTTTGCACATGCAGTGCTGTGGAAAAGTCAGAAATCACCCAGTCTTTTATTTTATTTCCAGTCAAAATGGCTATTATGAAAATGGTTATTCATTGTTTTCAGAGTCAAGAACATATGATTGATGGAAAATGACACAGAATCCTCAACAATCAGGATGTTTGCTTGCAGGGATATTTTTTTCACAAATCCAAAGTTTAGTCTTAGAGGTTGGTTTTGGCTTCACATCTTATATCCAGTCTCCCCATAAATATCTAAGTAAAGGAAAGGTGGTCTCTGATTTGGGCAGTACTATTTATTTCTGTACACTCTTAGCAAAAAGGGTTCGAAATGGTACCTAGACAGTTTCTATGACTTAGAACAATGGTAGAACCTTTGTTTTTTTTTAAAAGAACCATATACAGTCGGGTTTCCCATCAAAGAACCATTCAAACAGTTGGAGTCACAGGTCTATATATCAGTATTTTCCTGTAAAAAAAAATAAAATAAATAAATAATTTTTTTTTGCGTGGTAGCCCCCAGTTGCCAAAACGTGCTGCTCTTCTACTTACATCACTCAGTAACAGCTTGAAATATTGGTTAAATCTAAACTTCAGTCCAATTCTGATCATATTTTAGCAGTTACATGATGCTGATACCAATATGATTCCAGCTGTGTACCCAGACAGACTGCAAGGATGTGTTATGACTGTCTGATCTGGCTGGCCAAGGAGAAAAAAGTGACCTAATAACATAGTTTGTGAACTGCATGTAGAGGAGTTTGACCAATCAGAAGCAACCAAACACCCACATGCTGTATATATGACAACAGCAGCTTACTGGCAGTCCGGCACACCTTATTCAGTGTTTCAGTCTCAAGATTGAATAAAGTTGATATGTTTTTATTAATTTATTTTTTTTTCTTTTTTCTTCTAGAAAAAAAATAAAACAGGCCAGGGGCCATATTACAGAAATTTCTTAAGTCTGAGATCATATCTTATTTGCTTTGTTGTCATGATAACCTCAGTTAAGACTGAATTTAGGACAGAAGCCATTACAGAACAAGAGTTCTTAAGTCTATAATTTTATTTCCAGATAAGAAAACGGTGTTACAGAAACATCCTAAATATTTTCTTAACCTTAAGATAAACCCCAGAGCGTCTTAACTTCTGTTTTAATCATCTGTTTCTATAGTTTTATGCAGTGATGGGCAGCACAGTTCACTATAACTAGAATAATGACGCTACATTTATCTACCCTGAAAACGGTGCTTTGAGTTGAGTTTTTTTCTAACAGCATTTTAAAAACCACAGACACTGCAGACTCGATCTCCACCGTCCCTCTTATTACCTTTGTGTGTTAATGTTGATGATGAAATATTACAGTGATGGAGGTGAATAATGAGGAGACGGAGCTGAACGTGTGTCTGTTTATTAGGAGGAATAACGTTAGCGCGCTCGGCTAAAGCGTTTGGGAAATGGAGACTGAAACTGAAGAGCGGCGATGCTCTGATAAACAGCTTTTCTTATTCTTAACCTTCGGTTTATCGCGCTGTAGTTTTATTTGACCTTTTTTACTTCAGCTGTTAATTAAGTAATGCTCTTTTTTTTTAAGGGTCCCATTTCAGAGGGAAGACTTCAACCACTACACCTTGTAACTCAGTGTGAGTGTGAGTTCTTGAGCTCTGTAATCTGATTTGCTGGAGTGTTGGTGAAAGTAAGGGTGTGTTATGACTGTCTACTCTGGCTGGCCATGGAGCTGCTTGGAAACAGGGACTCTTTTGTTTGTAGAAGTGTCCTTCGGCTGTGTCTTCCAGGCGTTCTTTTCCTGGCAAGGCCCTTGCAAAGAACAGGGTGTCCCAAAAAAATTGACATCATTTGAGATGTGAATATCTGAGTAACTACATGTCCAGGCAAACGAAATTAAATAGGCTTCATGTTGAACAACAAGATTTATTTATCAAAACTCGAACAAGAAATTCAGAGGGATGTAGATTTAATAACCGATTTCACAAAGCTGTTCAATATCTGTCTTTAAGGCTTGAACGAGCTGCAGCTTATAGGGTGTCATTCGCAAGCGTTTCCTTACGACACGCCAAAGCGTCGTACGAGGAATCTGGGTTTCCAGAGATGCTCTTCTTACAGACTTTCTGGGGCTTCGCACAAATGTTTCTCGAACCTGATTGACAATATCTTCCGATACTGGTGGTCATCCAGATCCCTTTGTCCTGCACAGACAGCCTTCCTCTTTGAACTTTTTTGTGCCATGTCCAAACCTGCTTTGTTTTCTCGAAAATGCACGCTGCACACTCTCGTTTGACTGTGTTCGAGCATATTCTAACACACTAAATGCCTTTTCATTTCTAGTGAACCTCATTCTTCAACCTGAAAAAAAAAACATTAAAAATTAAACTCGTTTTTACACATTTTGTTAAAATTTGGGGTCATTTGAGGGAGAATTGGCTGTTATTAGACTACGAAATGATGTCAATATTTTTGGGACACCCTGTACTCTACACAAAAACAGCAAACAGTGTTCCCTTTAAATTCATTTACAGAGCACGTTTTACAACAGACATGGTCACAAAACAGCTTTCCGCAAATCCAACTGTAGTGCAGGTTGTTTTTGTCTCCTGATGATCTCCAAAGGCCTGGAACATCATGTGCATCAGATGAGCGTAACTCAGTCTGAACACCAAATCTCTGGAACGTTCAGAAAAACGTCAGCTGACTCTTGAGAAATGCGACATTTACGGGCAGGAGTTCAGAAAGCACGATAAAGAAGGAACTCTGTGGGAATTACGAGCCACCTTTTATGACCACGCGCTTCACGCACCGGGGTCAAAGGTCAGCGATGATTAAATTCTAGTCTCTCCCGGAGCGATAACGCTGGGGGACGGAGGTGGCCCTGCAGTGTTTACTCTGTGCTGTGTGATTTGTGGCCGTTGCTCACGCTTGTGTTTTCGTTTGCTGCTTCTTGTGGAGTTTGTTTCCCTTTGAATAAACTTTGAACTGTTTGAGGAACATTTATTCTGGCCTCACTGGTTTGACGTTGCACATCTGGTTTGCTTGACAGGTGTGGAGGTGAAGTAAGTGGTTTTCAATAAGCGTGTGTCATAAAGATACTGTAGTATGGTGCGAGTCACGTGTGGCGATTTTATAGTCGTGTATTGTTGACTGTAAAACAGGATTACCGCATGACTGTAGAACCGCTTGACCAAAACAGCTGACTTAATTTCTTTATGGCACTTCTGAGTCACTGAGCCTGTGATTGTTAGTTATTTGAAGGACTTGTATAACAGGAAAACTTAAATGTCCCTCACTTTTGTCATATTTTACATGTTCTATATCGCTGTTGTCGGAACAAAACCTCATATCTCCAAAATGGTAACTTTACAGGAGAAGGAAAAAACCTACTGTACTATTTATAACACAATGGAACCAGACTTTTTTCCAAGGAATTTTGGGCCATTTCTTTTGGTCCATTCATCATGAAATTTACACACAATGTAAAGAGCAACAGACAATGTCAGTTACAGCACAGCACAGCACAAGACAGCCAGTCAGAACAGACCTTATTTGCATACATCTTTCTTAAAGGCACAGTAATAAGCACAGCCTGTTTAACTCTACTGGATGAAGTGAGGTCAGAAAACGGCCATGTTAAAATGATTTATGGTGTTTTTTGGTAAATAAAACTACGTAACATCATAAGTGACAATAATTGTTGATATATCATTTCGCCAGTGTACTCTTCTGGATGCTATCAGTAAACTGTAGTCATTTTGACTGTGACTCTTGAACAGATAGAGTGACATTAAAATCAGTATTGGTCACTCGTGCTGCTAAGCTAATAAATCTTGTGGCCAAAATCAAGAATTTATGGCCACAATAATAGAAGCATGTTAAGTACCTATTAAATAGTTTACATTAATAATGACCACTGCCGGCCAATCTGGTCGGACCTGATTTCATTAGACGCGTTTAGCTAGTGCAGTGATACACGTTT